TATTATTAGATATATTCCATGACAAGCTTGGCATGATTGTCAAGTGTCGAATATTCTAACTAAAGAGGCGAGCTGGGCTAACCTGCGGTTTACAGGTTGGCACCTTCTGACAAGTTAGAAAAATTTTAACCTAACTCGCTTATGGAGCATGTATGTGAAAAGCATGACTTTGAATTATTATTAGATATATTCAATGACAAGCTCGGCATGATTGTCAAGTGTCAAATATTCTAACTAAAGGGGTGAAACGGGCTAACCTGCTGTTTACAGGTTGGCACCTTCTGACAGATTAGAAAAATTTTAACTTAACCCGCTTATGGAACATGTATGTGAAAAGCATGACTTTGAATTATTATTAGATATATTCAATGACAAGCTCGGCATGATTGTCAAGTGTCGAATATTCTAACTAAAGGAGTGAAATGGGCTAACCTGTGGTTTACAGGTTGGCACCTTCTGACAGATTAGAAAATTTTAACTTAACCTGCTTATTACATATAGAGCGTGTATGTGAAAAGCATGACTTTAAATTATTATTAGATATATTCAATGACAAACTCGGTATGATTGTCAAGTGTCAAACATGCACTTCTAAAAAGGGTAATGCGACGTGCCTACCCAAGGATTACAAGTTGGCAACTGACAGGTTAGAAAGCTTGCCAACTCACGTTTTCTTTTTGTTTTTATAACAATGTCATATATTTTAAATCGCAATGGGAAAAATACAACATCTTATATTTTATCATTTTGTAAACATTATTAATTTCATTGACATTTGTTGTTATATGTTGCAACTTTTTCAATCAATCAGTTAGTTTTCATTTGAAAATTCTTCAAAGATTATCTGTCTACCTATCTTTACCCTCAATTAGAGATTATAGGTATGTGCTAACAACAAGCTGTTCTTACATAAGGTTTTCAATTCAAACTTAACATTGACATGTTTGTATATTTGTATGGAGAATTGTGCATTGCTCATTTTAAGATGAAATTTGTAAGTAAAGACTACCCAAATTTTAATTCTTTTTATATATTTTTGAGTGATGACATCATTTTTTTTAAAATCTTAAATACACTAATTCCCAAATTGAGTTGCTTGTTTAGAGCTGCCATCTATAAGCATTTATAAATATACTAAAAATAAGTCAAGACAAAATTCTCTTCACATACTTTAAATACTCCTCCATTCCTTAATATAAGATATAATTAATTTGAGTAGATTAAAGATGTTAGTTAAGTTAGTTAATATGATATATATTTTCTAAAATATTCTAAGTATCTTCCTTAATTTTCTCTCCTCCTCTTCTACTTGATTATTGTTGGAAAAATATTAATAAAGTTAATTTGAAAAAAATTTGATAAACACATGAAATAGATTTTATATATAAGACCAATATCAACTAGTTAATTTGAAAAAAATTTATAAATATGTTAAATAAATCTTATATATAAAACTAATATCAACTCTCTAATTATTTCTTATATTAAGAATCGGAAGAGTATTGTTTAACTGGTTTTTGGCTATATAGTTTCTGGAGATTGTATGTGAAAATTCTCGAGCCAGAGCAGTCGAAAATGTCAAATGGTTATTAGATCAGTTTGATATTAATGTGATAGTATAGTCGATCAACAACATAAATCAATAAATAAAATCTCCCAGATATATTTAAATAATGCAACTCAAGATAACACAAAAATTGTCATTACTTCTACAATAAACATACAAAATTAAAATAAAGGTGTACTCCACTGGTATATCTGTTTGTGGTAATAATATTTTGTCATACATTACATAATTTGCATAACTTAACATAAAAGTGTAAATAATAATTACTCTGCTGGACCCATATGTATGATGCGTGGACTTATTTCTTCAATGGAAATTTGAAGAAGAAACTTTCCACTAAGCATATCGTCTTCCTCCGGCTCACGGGTCTTCACAGTTTGGTACATATACTTCAGCTAGTACTGTTATTTAAATAAAAGATATTGATATGCTTCTCCACCTTCATATTATATTATAAAGTAAATTATTATAATAAGTTTGATTATATTATAATTATAATTAAAAGAAGCATATATAGAAAATGGGACAAGAACAGAAGAGGAGACGGAGAAAGTTACGGTCAACTTTTACCCCTCTTCTTCTTCTTCAGGTCCTCTCATACATATGCTTACTCTTAATGATCTTAAGTAATATAATTAATTAATTTATTGACCTCAATTTCCTTCTCATTTCTTCCTCCTGCATAAAGCGTAATTTAAAAACATTAATATAAAATTTAAATTTCCAAAAATAAAATGGACATTGCGTGTATGCAAAATGGAGGATATCATATGTTATGACTTTATTCCAGAAAGAGAGAGGGGGCGTGTGTTAAATTATTTTAGATATTTTAATTAGATCAGGTATCAGAGCTAATAATTTAATCATAAAGTTAATGTTTATAATATTTAAAATTACACGAACCTGGAATTGAGGGTCAATGAAGCTCTGACTCATCTCCAAATCATCACGTCTCCATCACTGTCAAAAAGGTGGTCAAATATAAGTTTAAAGACAACTAAATATCTATTTTCTTGAAATAATTAATTAATTCCAAACAGACGCAATTAATTTATCCAATACCATAAATTCCAAAACAAGATCACCTCCCTCGATATTACCTGCGTAAATCAAGGAAGAAACAAAATGTTCAAATGGCCAGTTATATATCCAGAGTCAACAACACATTGGGTTTTTTTTTTCCATTTTTTTGTTTAATTTTTCTTTGCCACAGTGCATGTAATTTGAAATTGCATTTCACCTTTATACCCTCGATATTGTTTTCTCTGAACTTGAACCCTCTTCTCAAGCACCTTTGGGCACTCTTCATGTTGCGTAAGGGAAGCTCTTGAAAAGTGAAAAAGCTCTCAGAACAACTATTTGAGGTTGGGATATATCTTGTTTGGAAAAGTATGGATGGAGGAACGTAATGTTTGGAATGTGAGTAAAAGATGCTTATAATGTTTGGAATGTGAGTAAATTAATAAGATGATAAGCATAAGGTTTGAGATTTTATTTTGGGACGATGATGTTTGTATTTTCTCTGGCAGTGCCATGACTGTAACGGTACTTCCAGTGCATTGCTCTTACTTCTGAACATAATCTGAAAATATAAGCCGCTCTTCGATTTATTCTGCACAATAAAATAACTTGGAGATGAGTGATAAATCTATATATATTTCGGTAAGCAGTGAGCATCAAATAAACAAAATTACTTTCTCACACAAAACAGAAAAGTAAGCACAAGAAATTTAAACAAATGACTTACGGTGGAGAAATCAGGAAGCATGAAATGAAGAAAGAAGCCAGGATTTCTCCATTTTGGCACATCGACCAAGGAACTGAAACCTAAACCGAAAGGGATTGAACCCATAAGGAAGAGATAAGAATGGTGAGAAAATGACGAAACTATTTGGAGGTTTCTGAAGATTGAAAAGGAGGTGCCGGTATTTATAGAGCTGAGAAGACAGAGGGGGATGATGATGATATAGAAGGTATGAAAAGCACGATCCAGGGCAATCAAACGTAGAGTTTTAGAAAAGAACAGATCTGCTTTTAAAATCAAAATCTGATATATGTTGGTTTGATCTAATGGCTAAGAAAGGGACCTAATCCGACGGTTGTACTACATGCATATATTAGCCATTGGATCAAATCCATCTCCTAACCATTGGATCAAATCAACGGATTGGATTTTGGGACAAGGAAAAACAGTAAGGTATTATCTACGAGATTATCCAAATCCATTTTAGTAACGTTTTTTGATTGAACACAAAAAAAAAAAAGGAGTCAAGTTGATAAAATGTATGACAGATAATACTGCACTGTCAAAGTTAAACCATGCCACATAATTTAGAGCTGTTGAAGTTACATTTTCATTAAAAAATATATTTTGCTTTCAAATTTAGAATTTGATATGTTGGCTTCATCCAATAGCTAAGTAACGGACTCGATCAGACGGTTGTATCACACATTACGTATATTAGCCATTGGATCAAGTCCCTTTCCTAATCATCGGATTGATCCAACGGATTGGATTTTGGGATAAGGGAAAAAAAAACAATATTGTATATGAGATGATTCGAATACATTTTAATAATAACTCTCTTTTATCATATGCAAAGAGTATGAATCAAGTTGATATGGTTCATGACAGATAATACTGCAGTATGACACCGTCGAAGTTAAGGCCATGACAGATGATGTGCAACTGTCAAAGTTATAACTTGATCGACAAAGAAAGATATCTTTTTACTCCCTCCGTTTTTTATTATAAGAGACATTTAATGCTTATGGCACGTTCCTGTATATAAAAGACACTTAAAAGTTCTCTCTATTTTTATTTATTGATTTCTTGTTTTATTTCTATTTATTTTATCTCCAACTCATACTCTCTTCCCCTTCCATTTATCTTTCTTTTAATAATTTAATTAATCCCTCTCATACTCTTTCTCCTTTTATACATTAATTGTCTTCAACTAATTTTAATTTTTTTTTATCAATGTAATTTAATTATTTGCCTCTTATAATAAAGAACGGAGGGAGTAAAAAGCATATTGTTCTCTTCCATTTCAGATGTGATTTTTTGATTTAATTCATTTTAGTAATGCTCTTTAGTCAAATACAAAGAACATAAATCATGCTGATACAATACATGCCACATAATATAACACTGCCCTTGCTAAAAAGGGATTATTGATAAAATATGAATTAAATCCAAATAAGTTTGTACAGTTTGCATTATTTCCTAATGGACTCAAAATTTGGGCAATATTGTTAAACGATGAGCTATTGAAGGCACTAAATAATGACTTCAAAACTTCAGATATTGAATAACTTCTGCATTTCACTTTAGTTCAAGTAAAAACCCTTGGACACGATGCGCGGTAATACTCTGTCATTCTAAACAAACAAATGATGACACATGATCCGTAATGAACTTAACAATCCCTACTTAACAAATCAAAAATCTGAACTTTTCATTTTTTTCTTTTCAAAATCCTTGGTCATCATGATTCATTAGACAATTACAGAGTGTCGGAATTTGATGATACATGGTTTTACATGCAAACTATGTTACTACTGTACTAATTATAATAGAGAGACAACCTAATTTCTACCTCCTAATATTCATATTACATAAGTTATTTTCTGTCAAATAATAATTGCTAGCCAACATGCTAGGTTTCCGAGCAATCAAGCACGCACAATACAACTGAAACAGCAAGTGTTCCAGGCGATTTCATTCTCACCAAGGCCTTCCTATTCCTCCAAGCCTACGAGCCAGCTCAAAATCCTTTTTCACTGGGGCAACAGAAGCAAATGATACTGATCACTAAACAAGGAAGAAAAAAGACGAAAGGTTTATTTTCACACCATTTCTACACTTAATCATTGACCAACGATCCCCCCTGTTACTGTAGACAGGGGTTTTCTTAGACTTCGTTGAGGAGAAGATTCACTTGGGCAATTCTAAGGATGCAATTCCCTACATCAATCAATCCAGTGTTCAAAGAATTTTACACCCCCCCACCCCGGGGGGGAAAAAAAGAACTGAACACAGAATAATAAAGCAGAGCATTACCCTTTCTAAACAAGTTAATTCGCCTAGGTTACTTTACCAAGGATTTGAGGGGAGTAAATTTAACAATGATTTGAAGTTAAAAAATAAACGGTGTAAACTACTTCCTATAACAAGTTATCAGATAACAGGGGAACAGCGAAATTTTGACGGCGTAAAACAGCACAACTAAGTATTGATGAGGAAACAACATAAACCAAAGTAATAAGAATGCTATGAGATTACACATTCCAACAAGGCTCCAATTTAGGATGCCACGTTACCCACCTGAAGAAGCCGCCAAATTCAGCTGTTAAATATAACTTATCAACTTCTCATGACCATGGTAATCACTAAACAGTTACTCATTTACTAAGTGAACTATATCCTGGTTCATTCACCTTAAGATGACAGCTATAATTGCTAACAGGATTTTTTTCAAGAAAAATGATGATCAAAATCACCACCACCAAAAGTTTAACAAAATCACAGAGAAAAATACACTATGTTATTGCATTGAAAATTTTTTAACTTAGCATCTTCTAATTAGCAAGATATTCATCATATTACTTCATTGAATGTTTGTGCTTAATTCGCTGCCAATTTTTCCAGTCTCCAACAGCATCTATAAAGCATGTTTGCTACTCAACCTTCTCCAAAGCCAAGAGAGGCCTTTTCCAAATAACTTTAAATAAGAATAGTGCCATAGAATTGAAAGGTTAAGAGTGATTTGGAATAATATAGAGTTACTCAGAATTTCAAAACTCAGCCCTGTCTAAAAACAACAGCAAGAAATGGTAAATAAAATGAGCGCCTATGCCCTCCCATTGCAGAAAGTTTCTGCAACTCCCAAATAAGCATCCACTGCTCCCCTCATGGCTAACTCAGCCACACGGAGTGGAATGTTTGTTTTGGAAGGTAACAAATATTGTGATAAGCATTCGCCAGAAACAGTGAAAGCAACCAAAGATTAAAAGAAGAAGAAAGATAAACACATAATCGAATAAATTTATGATGATTGAAGGATTAGAGAAATACATTAGAACAATTGTGTCAACTTACTAAGTGTAACACGCTTTGCATGAATAGCGCACAGCATTCCATCCTCAAACAAATGAACCAGATAAGCTTCAGCTGCCTGCACGATTAATAAATAAAAATGATTATAATTTAGATAAACTGATATACACACGATGATTATTAAACCTAAAAAACAGCATTTAGATGATAGTTTAGACAAAGTGCGGGCTCACCGCACACTAACAAGTAATTACTGATAATAGAAAGGAAAATGGTATATACCTCTTGAAGAGCTAATAAGGCTTCAGGTGTCCATCGACTGATCTGGGTAGATAACTGGAATGTAATTTCCTTCACCTACAGCAAGATTTGAAAACATTTCCATTGATTTATAATTTATAGACAGCTTAAAAGAGTGTCTGAGCTCTGTGTTTCTTTCCAATCACAGAAGCATGGAGATATGCAGTAGTCAGGTATAACATCCATAAACTCACACATCTTATAAAAGGGAGAGCTGGGATTAGAAGGTTGACACTCCTCTGATAGTGACGAATTTCACGAAGAGCCACTGTTCCTGGTCTATAGCGATGTTTTTTCCTCGGCCTCTGACTTTGTGATGCTATAATTTTACATTTAAACAGAAGATAAGTAATTTAAAAACCATAAATTGGCAGAGCCTTATTCTACAACTAAGCTATGACTTCAGGAAATTATAAGCGCATACTCTGTGGTTGCTCTTCACTCCTCTCCGCTCTTCTTGTCGCTGGCTTCAGAATACTCAATGGAAACAAAATATATAGAAGAATAAAACAGATTTGTTCCAAGAAAATAAAGGTACAAAATCATTAGTTTAAAAACTAGAATACGGACATAGAAATAGGAGTTACAATTACAACAATACACAAAAGCTAATTTATTCCATGTTGCACAGCAGCTTCGGCAGTTATGTTCTTTCATCAGTTTTAGATTTTTGAGACTAGACTCAGTGTCTTAATCTACGGTATGCAAAAACTATGCCTTACCTCTGCTATCATAATTTGAGGTTTTGAGTTGGGCATTATACGGAAGTTTTCCTCGGACAAAAATAAGTAAATAAATTAAATGAATGAAGCATTAATGCCAAAGCGAACAAGAATCATCTTAATAACAGAAAAAGGATTATTATTCGGGTGACTGAGAAATTATGAGCAAGAGAATATAGTTTTTAAATCCTGAGTCGACTTAGCATTGTCTGAATCCGAAAACCCGTGTATATACAATGCCGACTTCGGATTAAGGATTAATTACAGGAAGCAGGCTAAAGCACCCCAAAGTCCAAAAGTAAGTCGTGCATAAGCATCACATCTTCAGCTTAGCAGTACATAAACCGTGTGTCAGCAACCAAACAGAAGCCAACGACAATCCCGTGGACAGAGACAGAAAGAAGCTTACCGATTGTGGTGATGATGCGGCCCTCCTACCTGTGAATATAGAAGAAAGCAGATTTAGGTTTTTGACAGTAAAAGGGAAATAAATTAAGAACACCAAAGAGAGAGATGAAGTACCTCTCGTGCGGGAAGCTGGCGCATGCTTAACTCTTGCCATTAGAAAGAGCAATGAGGCTGGGCAGAGCAGCCAGTGCGAAAGCGAGGAAGGACACACTCTGCTTCAGATTTCGGTTGCCGAGTTAGCAGAAACAAATTTTGCTTTCGTTCAAATTCTCGCGCGCCTTTAGTTTAGAGCCCAAAAATAAAAAAATTCTGGCGCCCCTGTTCATTGTGGGTTTGGGACTGGGACTCCGGGAGGGCTAAGAATTGCCGCGATTGTATTCGGGTCGGGTTACGGGACTCCCCGTTCAATTCGACGAATAATTTATGGGGATGTCTCCCTTCGCGCCCAAACCGAGCGAAAGGTGAGTTTTTATTTTTTTAATCCAAAAGAAGAAGATGAGAGTTAAAATCAAATAATTATTTAAATCTCTCAGTAAGAAACCAAAAAACTACCTGCATCAACCAGATTAATTTAAGAAGGATAGTTATTTTTCTTTCAAACGTGATACGAATAAAAACTCGTTATTTCTTGTAATTTGAATTGAGCCTAAACTAATATGAATAGAGTTGGACAGGATCACCACAAAACTCTAGTAAGTATTTCACACAATTGCAATATCAGGATTCAAATTTGAGACATCTAATTGAGGGAACGTATGATGAGGACTAAACCATAATTTTAAAAGTAATTTTACGATATACAAAATACATATATGAGAAAATTTTTGTTTCAACTTGTGTGAAAATATTTTTAAAGAGTGCTTTTAGAAGTTACCAAGCACCTCATGAGATGACTAATATCTCTTGATAGTCAAAATTTTGAGGATAGATATGAGTTTTGTGTCACATGTTTTCTACTACTTCAGCTTGTTGCTCTTATTATTCCATTTCTTAACATACTAAAAAAAATACAAAATCATATAGTTTTCTTTTGGTTTGGAGAGTCAAAACACGTTTATTGTATGTGATTCTATGAAGTTTGAAATGAAACATCGTCTATGCTTTATAACAAGGCAATCTGTGTATGAATTTTATTATGTGAGTATTAATTTAAAAAAAATGTAAGATTAATGCATATAAACAAGGGGTTGGCAAAAGAATGAAATGCATATAAACAAAGGATGGAGGAGAAGGCAAAAGCACGTATGTTTTAGCAAGCATCTTTAAAATTCAGTTTTGTCGGCAGAAAAGGTGTCCCCGTGTTACATGTGATGAATTATTTGCCCCCCTGATTATGTGGGCCTAAACCAAGAAGATTGGAGACAAAAAGCTGATTATTCGAGTAATAGTATGAGTTAATGCTGTAAATTCTACATGTCATAATAATGCTCTGTTCTGTTTGTGCCGTAGTTTTTTTTTTTTCTACCGGATATATGTGCCATAGTTTAAACACGTCTCAAACAAAACAAGAAGAAAAGAAACGCATCTCTTGACATATACTATTTCTGATTCTTAATATAAAAACTCGTTTTAACCTCTATTTTACTTTTAAATATAAAATCCCAATCCACCTTGTTTCTCATATTTATCATTTTTTTTCAAGATAATTCTTGTAATAATAATAGTTTTAGTCAATATACTTAATTAGTAATGATATTTTAAGAAATATAACACTTATTTATTATAAATAAATAATTTAATTAATTTTTTTATTCTACTCAAATTAGCCGACAAGCTTTTATATTAAAGAACAAGAGGTAGTACTAAAAGGTGAAAACTTAAAAAAGAGATCGTTCAAGGAACAGAACTCTCGAGTCCAAAAATTTCCAAGATGGAAGGATAAGAACACAGCTCTCAAGGACAAGCGCAGTCACCAAATAACAAAGCCATTTAAACCCCCCCCCCCCCGGGGGGGAGCTCAAGCCTATGAGCAATATTAAAACCTGCTGTTCGTTGCTTTCACAAAAGATCAAAAAAGTAATCTAAACCTTGGCCAATTTCCCAGATTGAAATACCACATCCCCATAAACGGGCTTCCTCCAGGCGCAAGGAAATTGACTTTAAAGATGGATAGAACACAACACGCTTGCTATCCTCGTCATCAATGTAGAAGAAGAAATGCTCGCCACTATTCTCATCCCACTGCAGTACAGGCCTGTGCTTCTCCAACAGTGAAAGGTAATCCCTTCCGAGAATAGCTCTCCCTCCTGAACCTGCACTTACAGATTTTAATTTGTTAAAAAGAGATGCCTGCACTAATTTTTGAATGCTAAAAAGAAATAGTGAAACATCTTCTAAAGTTCCCATCAATATCAATATAACTTATAAAATCTATAACGAAAAACTTCCATGTGAATTTTAATATGATCGTGATTTTCTAATAAAAACAAGAAACAAGACGCAAAGGGAAAAAAAATCAATTCAAATATCACATGATAAATTGATTTTTTTTTTTTTTTAAAAAAAGGTACCTCTTCTTGCTTTCCAAGTTTTATCCTATCAGGAGGCCCCAAAATAAGAACATGCAAGTTCAAGTGCAATAATGGATTTGCAAGTAATAGACTCAAATCCACTAAGCATGACAAAGTGCTCTTCAATCATCTCCAACAGTTGGTAGCACAGTCTTAAAAATTGACAGATAAACCCAAAAATGCATACCATGATAAGGTGCACCTGCTGTAACAGATTAAGCTATGTGTATACTGCAAATTAATCAACAAATCAAAGCAAGCAGTAACCTCTGGAAAGGGAGAAATCATTTCCATAGAAGTTTATGCCAAGGAGTATCTTGTTAGCGAGCCTCTGGGCTCTATGGCCAGGGGTGCCAAGAAGCAGACTTAAGGTAAATTGAATCCACTTCAATGGTGCATTAGGGCCAGGGTTATGAGGACTAGAGAAGTCATATGTCATCAATGAAAATCCATCCACAACTTCACTCAAGATCTCAAGATCGTTTGGACCAAAGTCGTGCTCTTGGAGCTTCTTCGAAGATGGTGGGCCCATGACATATATCAACTGCAACTGCTGCCCATTATCTTTGCCAGACACAGAATGCAAAGCTTCTCCAAGCTGCTTTATAAAATGCAATGCCTGTACTCGAAAAAAAAGAAAGCATGATTTCAAGCGCTATCATGAGCAAAATGTTGAACTTTGTCCCATATCAAACATGACTATAGGGCTTATACCATTCTGTTAGCTTATATGCGGGGAGAATGACCGCATTAAAATATGTCTCAAGCATGAAGGTGAAAAAAATACTTAAAGAGCAACTGAAAAGGAAAAAAAAAAAAAAAAGAATCCCAATGATTTGCGGATTGCCAAACAAAAGATACGTGTGAAGTGCTTAAACACAGTGAGCAAACAGTACCTAGACAATTAGCAGCTGAGTCCATGAAAAATGTAAACTAAATATTTGCAATAAATTGTTTAAAGAAAAGTATTATACAATAATTTTGCCCGATAAGGGTTTCTAGGAATGATGAAAATGATCAAATACTCACCAAATTTCGCATGCTTGGTTCATGCAAGATCCCATAAGCTGCCCATCTTGACCAAGATTCTAAGACAATACCATCATATCCCATTTCCCTACGGGCAGAGAGCATTTATATAAAAGGTGAACCACAATACAGAATGCAACAAGCAAGAAAAACATCATGCGTAGATTTTTAATGCAGAGTCATAATAGCAGTTCAATTAATGATAGACAGTTCTTCTATTTTCAGATTCAGATGTTTGCATTTTTCAGCATACAGATGCCGAAATTATCCCCACAATGAAATTGCCTAAAAAGATGAACCCAGATAAAAGATAGAATCTTTACTTGCACTCTGTTACCATAAGGTTAATGGCTTTGTTCCTTTGTTTCTTCTTTGTCAACAGCTCCAAGGGTGATGCTTCCAAGACAACTCTAGGCAAAATCTACATGAAAGTTTAAATAAGGCCAGATTTAAAGAAGAGGATAACAATATCCAAAGGCAAGTAGATGAACGCAAGGTATCACAAACTTTAAATAAAGGCAGCCAAAGAACAGGTAACACATGTATCCTTATTCGTTACTAAGGCAAAAACCTGATTCTGTGGGGTGAGTGGTGAAAGACAGTGAAATTCATCAAAATCAATCTTGGCTAATGGACAATAACAAAGCATTCAACAGGACTTACATTATGGGTAATGGCAATAAGAAGATTGTGGTTTTTGAGACATAGAAAATATTCAATTTTAGAAGTGAAATTTGCAAACAGTTGCCCTTTGTTATTGGTTGTTTAAGAAGTCACATTCTATCACAGGGTTTAAAGTGGCCTAATATTTGAATGGGAAAGAGATTGAGCACAGTGATCCAGATCCAAACCAACTACCTAAATCACTACCAGTCACATCGGCAAACTCATACATGATTCCCCAATTCGATTCTGGCATTCTTCTTTCTTCTTTAATGTTAGAAGCCCTTGATTCTCTCCCTGATTCTCTCCCTTTATTCTCTCCATGATTTACCCATGATTCTAGCTAGACAATGAATTCCTGATTACTTGTGATATTGCAATATCTTTCATTTATTACTGATTGATTGTAACCGGTAGTATGAGACTCTATATATTGTACCCACATCATATGAAATAATATGGCAGAGTGAATTTTCAATACTCTTTAAGCATGGTATCAGAGCGTGTGAGCTTGGAAAGGGTCCTGGAGAGTCTGCCGTGAGCCAGAGAGAGAGAGACGGCGAGGAGAGAGAGAGAGAGTGAGTGAGGCGTCCTCAAAACTGGAACCAGAAGTGGTCCGTGGACGACACCACCCCTCCAGGCCTCACCGGCGTCCCCAGATCGGCGCGTCCCCGAAGCCGACGTCCAACGGAGCTGCGCATGACCCTCACGCGCCGTTACAAGCTCCGCGCGTGAATCCCACACGCCGCCACGCCCCGCCACTGTACCAGCGCGTGCCGCCCACGCGCCGCCGCCAGAGACCTCCAGTACCTCCCAGAGACCCAGAAGATGGATAACCCAGAATTCCCACCACTTTTTGGGTCTGTTCGCAATATTCCAAGGGTTCTCATGTCCGGTACATCTTCAAATACTCAAGCTACTCCTTCTTCACCGGTGGTTACTCCTTCTTCAGATCTGACAGTAGCCGCTGAACCTCAAGCTATGGGGGTAGCCCACAAACTTAATGGAAGCAATTATCTCCAATGGTCTCAAAGTGTATTAATGTATCTGCGTGGGAAGCGTAAGGAGAAGTATATCAATGGAGAAGCAACACAACCTTCGCATAATGATCCCAAATTTGATACCTGGTTCGCTGAAAATAATCAGGTGATGTCTTGGTTGTGCAATTCAATGACTCTCGAAATCAGTGAAGGATACCTTCTTGCAAGTACAGCCAAGGAAATCTGGGATGCTGCTAAGCGGACCTACTCTACCCTCGATAACACTGCAGCCTTATTAGATCTAAAGAGGCAGCTCAAAGATCTGAAACAAGGCAACTTAACTGTGACTCAATACTACAGTACGTTGACAAAGATATGGCAGCAATTGGACCTCTTTGAAGTACATCCTTGGAAGGATATGGATGATGCTAATTACTACAGACAATTGGTGGAAAGAGGACGAACATATGACTTTCTGTTGGGCCTGAATGATGTTTTTGAAGAAGTGAGAGGGAGAATTATGGGACTGAAGCCGCTGCCATCCCTATTTGAAGTCTTCAGTATGGTTAAGTTCGAAGAAAGCCGAAGACACCTCACTCAAGGCAGCCTGACCGCAGCAGAGGGCTCGGCATTGGTGACGAGGGGGTTCCAGACATCAGAGGGCCCTGAGAAGAAAGGGAACAAGTGGTGCAACCACTGTAACAAGAGAGGCCACACCAGAGATGAATGCTGGAAACTACATGGGAAACCAACTCAAGGGAAACAGAAACAACGGGAAGATAGAAGGAGCCACCACACCTCCTCTGAAGAAAAAGGTGATGATGGAGACCAATTGACCAGAGAAGAGCTTCAAATGCTTCGTAAGATACTTGAAAAACAAAACAAATCAAAATCTGTTCCCAACGTGAACTTGATACAGTCAGGTAATTCCATTATAGCCCTCAATGCAATGATAACTAGTGATGAGACTTGGATTGTTGACTCCGGTGCTACAGATCACATGACTGGTAATAAGTCCTTCTTCAAAACCCTCAAATATTGCCATGAGAACCTTAGAGTAAAAGTGGCAACTGGACTGTATACTAAAGTTGAGGGTGTTGGCAGTGTGGCTCTATCTGAAGATCTGGAAATCCATAATGTTTTGTTTGTCCCTGCTCTTACTTGCAATCTTATTTCTGTGAGCAAATTAACTAAAGGGAAAACATGTCGGGTGATATTTGATGATGTTAAATGTGTTTTTCAGGATTCGACCTCGGGGAGGAAGATTTTGACTGCTAAAGAATGGGATGGACTCTACTACTTTGAAGGAAAGGATATGAAGACAGCAGGAGCAAAGAAAGCTATGGTTAGCTCCAACTCTCAGAATAAAAATGTAATGTTGTGGCATCAAAGATTAGGCCACCCCAGCTTTGATTATATGAAGCATGTGTTTCCAACTTTATTCAATAAAAATTCTTCTCCTTTCCAATGTGAAACGTGTCAAATTGCTAAACAAACTCGCGCCTCTTATCCCAAACATACTTACAAACCTTCTACCCCGTTCACAATGATCCATACCGACATTTGGGGACCAGCCAAAACCAACACCCGAACAGGCACAAAGTGGTTTATCACATTCATAGATGATCACACCCGGGTCACATGGGTTTACCTTATGAAAGAGAAATCCGAAGCCCTACAAATTTTCAAAAACTTTTACTCGTTTGTGAGAACCCAATTCCAAACTACCATCAAAGTCCTGAGAAGTGACAATGCCAAAGAGTATGTGAGTGGAGCCTTTAGGGAATTTCTTGAGCAGGAGGGAATCCATCACCAAACCTCATGTGTTTATACTCCTCAACAAAATGGAGTTGCTGAGCGAAAGAATAGACACCTTTTGGAAGTGACCCGAGCTATTATGATGGAAAGAAATGTTCCAAATCTGTTTTGGGGAGATGCTGTACTAACCGCAGCCTATCTTATCAACCGCATGGCCTCTAAAATTCTCCACTTTAGTACCCCTATTCAAAAGCTCCATAAACATGATGGAGGCAAACTAGGTGCTAGAGCAGAAAAAGGCATTTTCCTCGGGTATTCCTCCACCAAAAAGGGGTACAAGTGTTATTGTCCCACCACCAGAAAACTTATAATCTCCAAAGACACAGTCTTTTATGAGGATGATGCTTACTATCCCAAATTACCCATTCAGGGGGAGCACTATGGAGTAGAATGGCTAATTACATCCGAACCTATAACCATACCGCCTCAAGACAACATCCCTGAACCGGAAACGGAACCAAAAACCCCTACTACTACACTTCTCCAGAACACCAAAACTCCACAAACATCCCTCACCCAATGGAAACCAATGCTGAAATTGATGCAGGGGTGACAGAGCACTCAAGTCCTCAATCAGGTGAACAGGACAGTAGTAGTAGGGTTCCTTCCATTCCAAGGCAGCAACATGATTCCAATCCGGAGTTAGATCCTGAAGAACTGGGATGGCCTATTGCACTTAGAAAGGGGGTAAGATCGTGTACTCAACATCCTATTCAAAAATTTGTCTCCTATGGCAATTTATCTGCGAGAATGCAAACTTTTGTAGTGAATAGCTCACAGGTGAAAATTCCAGAAACATTTCAACAGGCTGTAACAGATCCTAATTGGAAACATGCTGCATATGAGGAGTTGAGAGCCTTGAAGGAGAATAACACGTGGGATATCACCACACTTCCTAAAGGCAAGAAAGCAGTGGGTTGCAGGTGGATCTTCACCCCTAAATTCAATCCTGATGGCAGCATCAACAAGTACAAAGGAAGATTAGTTGCCAAAGGGTACACCCAAACCTATGGGATTGATTATCAAGAAACGTTTGCTCCTGTGGCAAAATTCAACACCATCCAGGTACTCCTGTCCCTAGCTGCCAACCTTGATTGGCCCCTACATCAACTAGATGTGAAGAATGCTTTCCTAAATGGAGATTTGGAGGAGGAAGTGTACATGGAAATTCCAGATGGAGTAATAGCTCCGCCCAACTCAGTTTGCAAATTGAAGAAATCATTATATGGCCTGAAACAATCTCCACTTTGCCAAAGCGATCAAAAGGTTTGGCTACATTCAAGGACAAGCTGATCACACTCTTTTCGTCAAACACAGTGATGGAAAGGTAACGATCCTAATTGTGTATGTGGATGATATAGTCATAACTGGCAGTGATGAGGTTTCTATCTCCCACCTCAAGAAGGCCCTGGCTAGGGAATTCCAAGTGAAGGATCTAGGCCAAATGAAGTACTTTCTTGGAATGGAGGTTGCTAGATCCAAAAAGGGTATAAGTGTGTCTCAACGAAAGTACACACTGGACTTACTCCACGAAACAGGAATACTTGGGGCTAAACCTAGTGAGACTCCTATGGAAGAGTCATGCAATCTGGAAGTGAAACCAAAAGGGACACCAGTTAACTCAGAAAGGTACAGAAGACTTGTGGGCAAACTAATCTACTTGACTCATACAAGGCCTGACATTAGTTATGCAGTTGGAGTGGTAAGCCAATTTATGCATCAACCCCAGGAAGAACACATGGAAGCAGTATACAGAATCCTCACCTACCTCAAACTCAACCCTGGAAGAGGACTATTCTTTAAAAAGGGGAGTACAAGGAGCATCGAGGTCTACACTGATGCAGATCATGGGAGAGCTGTGGATAACAGAAGATCTGTCACAGGATACTGTACTTATGTTTGGGGAAACTTAGTCACTTGGCGAAGCAAGAAACAGACAGTAGTCTCAAGAAGCAGTGCTGAGGCTGAGCTAAGAGCTGTAGCCCTGGGGGTATGTGAAGGAATGTGGGTGATTAGACTTCTGAAGGAATTGAGAATCTCCTATGAAGGACCTATGAATCTCTGGTGTGACAATCAAGCCAGCATTGAAATGACCAAAAATCCTGTGTATCACGACCGAACAAAGCATGTTGACATTGATCGGCACTTCATCAAAGAAAAGGTCGAGGATGGCATCATTAACTTGAACTATGTGCGTTCAATTGATCAGATTGCTGACATCATGACCAAACCGTTAGCCAGAGTCAAGTTTGAAGGGCTTCGAAGCAAGCTGGGAATGGTTGACATCTACTCTCCAGCTTGAGAGGGAGTGTTAGAAGCCCTTGATTCTCTCCCTGATTCTCTCCCTTTATTCTCTCCATGATTTACCCATGATTCTAGCTAGACAATGAATTCCTGATTACTTGTGATATTGCAATATCTTTCATTTATTACTGATTGATTGTAACCGGTAGTATGAGACTCTATATATTGTACCCACATCATATGAAATAATATGGCAGAGTGAATTTTCAATACTCTTTAAGCATTTAAAAAGTCAACAATCAAGGATATCATCAACTATATGGCTTTCAAAAATAAAACCAGCTATGAGCAATATTATTGAGTTGGCCTAAGAAGAAAGTCAGCTCAATGACGGCTAAGACAAAACTAAGCTCACGAGATTTACTTCTTCTTACCAAAGCGTGTCCTATATTTTTAAGCTCTGAGATCCATCCTATGTCAGCATTATGTCTTCCCTCCAGAACTAAGCCAGCCTGTTGGCTGGCAATGAAAATTGGTGAAGCAAACCACGGAGCAAGATAATGTCAACAATAATAAGCTAATAAAAAAATTCTAATGAACTCCCAGGCTTTATACATATGCACTTAAAATTCCTCTATAATGCACAAAATTCAGATGATCCCTATGGTTGTAATATCTGTTTGAAAACTTAGTTTCCTTACCTCTTCACCTCATACCAAACAGGTGATAAATGTGTGAACTTAGAGTTGAAACGTTTTGCCAATTCGTAACCCTTGGAATTCCTGCAACATTTAACAAATACAGATATAAAGTGAAGATGCCTTTAATGGGGGAACGATTATAAAGGAAAAAATCTTGCTACAATATATAAAATCATAATTGGATTTTAATTACCAACATATGACATTTTTTTCTTAAGTGAATCACCTAAACAAGCAATGTTTAAGGATACATGCCTTGTACAACAAGAAGGTTCTCGTAATGAATAACATGTTCATACTATAAAGTAGTTTTCCTTCTTCCAAATGATCACCTTCCGAAACCAAACTCTAGTATATTGATAACCATTTTCAGTAGCACTTGAATGTTGGAAACTAGATTCGAAGACAAGTTAAAAAAATAATTCAACACAAAATTAGGTTGCACGATTTCCTCATAAAGTAACAAGTATTGCATGTCAGGTATCAGTTCTATTTCAAAATTACTAAGATTTTGACAAACTCAACGAGAAGCCACAAAAACATACCATGAAGTAATGTAGCCAAGCACAGGATAACCATAGTGCCGCCGGGAAGTATTTTCTACTTTCGAATTCTCCTAATTCCTTGCAAAACCACTAAGTTAGGTATTATAAAAGCTGAACTCTATCTTACACCCTTTTTGGCAGCCCAAATTTCACAAAAGAAAATACTACCCCAAAACATGAGTGCTAATTTATATGAAAGAGAAATCTCCTGGTCACTAAAATAACCTCCTTTTCCTCAAAAAGGTTTCTTGGCGATTAAACAGTGGAATCAGTCTTTGGCGCGACTTACAGTCAGCACAGCTTGGTAACTTAAATCGGCTTTCATAACATCTTGTTGATGTGCATCCGATTCTCTAGAGCGGGTAGGAGAGTACTTAAACCGGTACACGATCACGGAAATGGTGGAAGATGCGATGAAGAAGAGGACCAAGAAGGGAACGAGTTTGCGACCCGAAGCCAATTCACCCCGGTTATCGCGTCGGGTGGACGATTCAGCTTGGTTATCGCGGTTAGCTGAACCCGGCGCGGATCGGCGTTCTCGTTTCTTGGCCATGTCGGAACTCACCGGCTCGGCCTCTTTGCCCGGCCGCAGCTTTGACTAGGACGTTAAAGAGCGCGCCGAACTCTCGCGTTGAACTCTGAACCCTCGCTCTGAAACGACGTCGTTACAAATATAGAGGAAAGCGTTAGCCGTGGGCTCAATCTTGGTCATGTAATGGGCGCTTAATCTAAACTTAGGGTGTGTTTGGATTGACGGTGGAGAAGTAACTTTTTTTTCAATCTGACTTTTCCAGAAGTCAGATTGAGTAAAAGTCAGATTGGGTAATGTGATTTATGTTTGGATTGGGATTTCAGAAAAAAGTCAGTTTGAGAAGCTAAAACTTGTTTGGATGATAAATGTAAAAGTAAGTTTGAATGTAAAATGACTTAAAAGGACATGAATTCTATTAAATAGCACATATCTAATATTAGATATTTAATTATTAAAAGTGAAGAAGTAAGGAAAATAAAAATTATTAAAAGTAAAGAAATTTAATTTAGTATTATAAAAAATTATATATATAATGTGACTATTTGTCATAAATAAAGTAATGAAAAATAAAATTATTAAAAATAAGGAAATTTAATTTATTGTTATAAAGAAATTATATATATAATGTGACCATTTTAAAAGAAGTATTGAAAAAAAATTTATTAAAAAAAAAAAAAATTAAGTTATTACTAGAAGGAAATTGAAAAATAATAAAAAACTTAATTAAATATATGTAATGGATAAATATGTAAATTAGAGGTCATACATACGTAGCATTTTTAAACTAAATACATCAAATAACTAATTGGAGATGCTCAATACAATTTGGTCTCTGATTGTGTCACGCACATGATTCATTTGTCTTGATCTAGGTAAATTTGAAGAGGATGTCTCACCAGCTTCATCATGATTGTCTTCGTCAATTGTACCTTCAGATTGAGCTTCTATGAAATCTTTATCAGTTTCAGAATTTCTTCGGAGGAAATTATGTATAGCCATTGTAGCACAAACTACTTGGACTTGAGTTTTATACTTGTAACTTGGCATCTTATCTAAGATGCGAAACTTATTCTTCCACACCCCAAAAGTCCTTTCTATAGTGCACCTCAAACTTGAATGGTAGTAATTGAAGACTTCGTTATAATTTTCAAATCCCGGTTGTCGCCTGAAGTCTGGAAGGTGATAGCGCTCACATCTGTACGGACCAAGATATCCTGGTGGAGTTGGATAGCCAGCATCAACCAAATAATACTTCCCTAATAAATCATGAAATTATGTTGACATTGTGAAATTAATGAAAATATCAAATGAATTTGATATAATTAAAATTGAAGTTACTGAAAATATACCTGGAGGTGGATGAGGGAAATCCAAGGCTGGAGTTGAGACAGCAGTGATAAACACACGAGCATCATGTGCAGTACCTTCCCATCCCGCTAACACAAAAGTGAAGCACATGTCCCAATCACATACAGCCATAACATTCTGTGTCGGATATCCCTTTCTCCTGATATATTTGTCTTGCTTCGAAAGACTCACCACACATCGTACATGAGTGTCATCAATTGCTCCTATTGCATCATTGAAATATGGCGAATATCGTTTATCGTTTTTTATTTTTGGGTGAGTTACAGAAAACGTAGGATCGAGTGGTTTGATATATTCCCTGGAAAGACTAAGGCAAGCCTGTAATACTCTATGAAAATGCCTGCTTACAGTTTCTCCTGAATGTTGAAACTTTCTTGAATCATCCTATTACATTGTCCATGACCAACCGTGTTCAAAAACATACCAACAATTTCTTCCACTCCCAGATACTTGGAATTTTTTAAACCATGTTCGACCAGTTTAGAGCATAATCGCATGAACATTTCTTTTTCCATTCGAAACATGTCATAACACCGAATTTCATGATCTCGCAAAATTTCTTGCACCCATAAATTACCTGTTTGCTGACTAGTTCTTCGTGGCTCTTTGCACACATAAGGCATCACATATTGACTCACCAATACAGCTACCTCTTCATATTGTGTTATCTCTTCATCTAAAAGGGAAATCAATTGAGACTGTTCATCTTCCTCTGACTCCTCTTCAGACTGTTCATCTTCCTCCATCCAGTCAAACGTAAATTGATTGTTCCAATTTGCCATAGATAATGTCACCTGTGAGTGCAGTTAAATTCAACTGTAAGAATTTTTTTAAACGACAAATAAATATTTTTACGTATGTGCAAATAAATATTTCTTTCTGTTAAACATGCAAAGACATAAAAATTAGTCCAAAAACATTCATAAGCTGCAATTACCATTATAAATAACACATGTAACTTAAAAACATTTAAAACATTCATAGTCAGTTAACAAGTTACATAATTTCATAGTTCCACAAACATTAACTGAAAAACATATAATAACAACTCTGGTCCGAGTTAGACAAAATAAAATCATAACATGCGTCCTAAAATATAGTTCAAGCAGGCGGGGGTTTCAGCCATGATGGTGGATTGTATGCCATATCCTGTAGCCATGCAACCAAGTATTCTGGCTGTCCTTTTAGTGAAACAACCATTTCCCGAACACTCTTGTGCAACAGAAGTCTTAAGCACCGGTTCCGGAAATCAGAGTACTTGTAATTTCCTCAAGGCAGAGCACTTCGGCCGTAACCTCAGAAATTGATACCTCTTTTATTTTCTTAAGAGTTGCAGCTCTATCCTTAGATGCAGTAGCTATTTCACTAACTGAATCCGCTATTTGTCTTGAGGCTGGAAGTTTTTGCTTTGTTTGCCTGCTAGACCCTTCACCTCTCTTCCTCTTCCCATGGCTTCCTGAACCACTAGGTGCAGTATTTGCTGTTAAGTTTACGCCTGCCATCTCATCCGTAACTCCTATACTAGCACCTCCAAGATCTTCTTCGCTATCCCCCGATCCTTCAAGGAGATCTGTATCAACTCTATACACATTCTCTTCATCATCCTCTTGTGTCTGAGGTTGGGTTAAAGACGGTGCCAACATATCCTCTCCAGATGCTATCACACCCTTGAATATCGTGTTTAATTCATGAGCAAACTTTAACCCCTGGTACCTAAACTTTTCATACTGGGGATTCTCCTGCAAGAATACAATCAACAAAAATAAAAAGCCTATAACAAGTAATAACACAGTTCATAACTCAAGATCAACAATTATATACCAGTTTTTTCTTCTCCCACCACTCATTTGTTGCCACCACTGTATTGTTTATAGGGTCCCAACCTACACCAGTTTCTTTGTTCAAATCAACCCATGTCCTCCAATCCTTCCTCAAGCTATCAAGCCTATTTTTCAATTGCTTCCTCTCATATGATTTTCCTGTTTTTGCATTGAATGCAGAATGAATGTTGTTCCACCCAGTCTTTGAAAATGATGTTCCTTGACGATTTTTCCGGTAGATTTGCTCCATGCATTCTTTAAGTAACACCTCTGTGGTGCTTGTATCCCATGTTGCCTTACCTTTATCTTTGTTCATAATTCTATTGAAAAATGTCAATCAAGAATGCAAAAGGGAGTTACAGTGAACCAGAGCACTTTTCTTCCAACAATGCAGAAATATTATACAAATTCAACAATCTTAAATTAGAGGCACTTTACAAACAACTTCCCGAGAGGCAGACACCTAAAAAATATCAGATATTTATGTTTCAAAATTCTTTTTATGTTTCTCTTGTAAATAAATATGAGAGGAAATATCTAATATATATAATATTTATGAATTATAACCTTCACATTTTCGGACTAAAAATAAGCGCCACATTAATTGAAACACTGATCTTCACATTTTCAAACTAAAAAAACGCCAACTTTTCGAAGCTTGTCACAAATAATTAACAGGAAAGGGGTACTCAGAACTACAAATCATCATCAGAAGAATCAAAGACCAGCGGTTCTGCCTCCTACGATACTACCAGGTCATACTACCATCAGTTTTTCCTACTACACTACTACCATTCGACAGCCAGGCCACATTAATTGAAAGAGCATCAGATCAAGAGCAAGAACATCAGATCAACACTTCTAAAATTAATAAGGCTATGGGTCCGACTTATCTACCAATGGCAGCCAACAACATGAATCGAACACCAGCAGATCTAGGACCAAAAACATGTATCTCTTACCAGCTGAACGAACGGCGGAGACACGGCGGGAGACGGCGGTGACAACGGACGGCGACCCTGGAATGCAACCGAACAGAGGGAGAAGAGCGACAACCGAACGATCTATGGAGGATCTGAACGAACGGCCACAAGCCACCCACTCCCACACAAGAACCGGAGATGACACGGCAGGAGACGGCAGCGACAATGGACGGCGATGCTGGCTTCAACCGGGCAGAGGAAGAGGAAGAACGACCGAACGACCGAATGACCGAACGACCCACTCCCACACAAGAACCGGAACTGATGAGATGGCGGAGACACGGCGGTAGACGGCGAGTGCACGGCGGGGATATGGCAGAAGACGACGTCGTGAGCGAGCTCCCTTTTTCAGCTTCAGATCGGGTTTGAAAATCAGAGTGCCGAGTGCGTGTGTGGGTATTTTCTTTTAGCTAATAAACATGCAGAGGGTAGGTAGGTAAAAATATTTAACATGCTACCAACGGTTTCTCAAACGCACCGGCCTCCAAAAAAAAGCTCCACAAATCAACTTCTCCCATAAGTCCATCTGAGCCTCCAGAAGTCAGATTGGGCCACTGTGAATCCAAACAACTCAAAAACGCAGCCACATCAGAAGCCCGATGGAAACGCACGTTTGGGCCCCCAAACGTGATGCCAAACGGGCCCTTAATTGCTCTCTTATTTAAGTCTATAAATAATTAAAAAAAAATACAGTAATTTCGCGTATACTTTAATATTAATTAATCAGTAATATTAAATAGTGTGGAAACAATTTTAACACTTCCTCGGCTGAGACAATGTGGACCCCAGTACTCAGTACTCCACAATAAACGGCGTCGTCTGGAGCCACTCTTCCTTACTGGACCAGATTTTTTAGCCGGGCTCGCGGTGTATTCAGCTTCAATGTTCAACTTTCCGCAGTAGAGCGTATCATGCGAAGGGTTTATGAGTTTTGCTTGCAGATAAACCCTGAGCTAACATCCATATCCTCGTCGGCACCAGTTGCAGCCTGAAAATACTACTCGACCGAAGCTCACACAGGTGAGTCTATGTTATCTATCTCCCTCCAAAATTCTCTCTTTCTGGAACTTTTTCTCGAGTAGTTTCGATTTTTTCCAGTATCTCTTTTTGGATTCCGAAAATAGTTAGATGGATACACATATGTTGTTTCCTTCGCCCAAAGCCTCTTCGTTTACTTCTTTACCATTCTTTATATCAAATAAATTTCCTTTGCTGGAAAAACCAATGCCTTTTGTGAAACCCCACCACTCCGCTCTAACGGTTTCGGTAGAAAGGTCGCAATTTTTGGGGACGAGTTTGCTCTTGTCTCGTGAAAATGTTAACTTGGTTAATCTCAGAAAAGTTCATCCCCTGCCTGGCCCAATAAGAGCGGCAGTGAAGAGAAGGAAAGAAATTCCCTTTGACAATGTGATACAAAGGGACAAGAAGCTCAAATTGGTGCTAAAGATAAGGAATATTCTTGTTAGTCAACCCGATCGAATTATGTCGCTTCGGCAGCTGGGTAAATTTAGAAGAGAATTAGGTCTGCAAAAAAAGCGGCGGTTTATTGCATTGTTGAAGAAATTCCCGGCAGTTTTTCAGATTATGGAGGAGGGAGTTTACTCTCTGAAATTTAAATTAACACCAGAAGCTGAACGGCTTTATATTGAGGAGTTGAAGATTAGAAATGAAATGGAGGATTTGTTAGTTGTGAAGCTGAGGAAATTGTTGATGATGTCACTGGAAAAGCGGATATTGTTGGAGAAGATTGCCCATCTGAGGACCGATTTGGGACTCCCACATGAATTTCGTGAAACAATTTGTCATCGGTATCCACAATACTTCAGAGTTGTTGCAACTGAGCGAGGCCCTGCGCTGGAATTAACTCATTGGGATCCAGAGCTTGCTGTTTCAGCTGCTGAGCTATCTGAAGAAGAAAATCGAATGAAAGAACTAGAAGAAAAAATTTAATTATAGACAGGCCTCCCAGATTCAACCGAGTAAAGCTACCTAAGGGTCTTCATCTGTCAAAGGGTGAGATTAGGAAGTTAATGCAGTTCAGAGACATACCTTACATATCACCATACTCAGATTTCTCAGGGCTTAGGCCTGGGTCTCGGGAGAAAGAGAAGCATGCCTGTGGAGTTGTTCATGAGATTTTGAGCCTCACTCTTGAGAAACGAACCCTTGTTGATCACCTTACTCATTTTCGAGAGGAATTCAGATTCTCTCAGCAGCTAAGAGGGATGCTGATCAGGCATCCTGATATGTTTTACGTCTCTTTGAAAGGAGACAGGGATTCTGTGTTTCTGAGGGAAGCTTATCGTGATTCACAGTTGATAGAGAAGGACCGATTCTTGCTTATAAAGGAAAGGCTTCGTTCTTTGGTTGCTGTTCCACGATTTCCCAAGAGTGGTGCTCCCAATACAGACAAAGATGGAAGGGAAGAGACTGATGACAGGGAAGATGAAAGTGGTGAAGAGGGGAATGAGTGGTCAGATGCTGAAAACTTCCTGAGTGATGATGGATTTGATGACGATGACGATAATGACGGCGAAGATGATTGGAGCGATGAAGATGATGACATGCCCCCAGATTTTGACGAGGATGATGGAAGTTTGGAGATTGGACTGAAAAAACAAATTAAACAAGAAGAAAAGTCAACACCTAAAGATGAAGAGATGCTTGTGCCTGCACTACCTGATGGTCGTCCCAGAGAACGCTGGTAAACCTCAGAAGAGCTTGCATGCTTTGTTTTGTGTGACTCGAGGCATCGGCTTCTTAACCTTCTTTTGAACGCACTGAGAAACAATATATGCATTTGGCCTAGAGTTTGATCTCACTACCTTGGAAGAATATCCTTCATGTTATCAATAGAGCGAGATCCTTCATAGCTCATCTACAGTTCCTTGTTGTGTTCTGTAAACATGAAAAACAGCTGATATTACTTTGAGATCAGAAAAGAATGCTCAATCAAGCTCTTCTAGTTACTTTTATTAACTTGATGAATATCTGCAACTTCCGTTCCTGTATAATAGATTGATAATGTAAACATTGCTATCTTTATAATATATATTTTGCATTTATCGGGGAAAATGGAATAAATCAACGGCTGACCGAAAGAACAAGTTCAATATGACGATGATATCCGTTCAGGAGTCCACTGCTGTATATATCTATTTTTCTTTTAATTTCTCTGTTAATCTAACAAAACAATCGACTTAGAGATGCAACAGCAATAGATACATTTGCATTTTTTGTGGGATACTTGTGATTTGTACGTAATCCCAAGCATATGGACAAAGCTAAACTACCTTTTATTTGTTAATAACCTTATACCTTGGTGTTGGTGTCATGAAAATTTTCTTACGGGTGGGATGTTGCGGGTTTAACTCCCCTTCAAGTGCATACCCTCTAAAATTTAAAAAAGAGAAAGCATTTAACCCGATTCAATGTTATTTGGAAAGAAGAAATAATTTTAAAAGGCTTTGAGCTTTAAATTTACAATTTCACTATAAAATTTCACCTTTTTGATAAATACTAAGACGAGAATCTCAAGGTTGACATGTAATGGTGAGGGCTTAACCAATTAAAAGATAGAGCTCTCTGTTGAGTTACCTTAAATTATATATGTACAAGCCAATCAAATTTTCCACATCTCGGAAAATTTCAAGAGGAGTTAGTTAACACCGGTTAATGGCAAGATCATAAACAAGCAATGGCTGTTTCTTTTAGATACTGTACTTCCTTTTTTTAATGACAAATATGTGTGTGAGAATTTTAAGAATGATTGAAGGATGTGGAGCCTGAATGTGAAATTAATTCTATTGTAACTGAGAATTGGCAAATAAAAATTGAGATGTCAAACATGTCGGATTCTAATTTCCCTAGTCATTTTGGAAAGATACAGGTTCTTTGTTCCGGTTCATGCCTAAGCCTGAGACATGTTTCTTGGTAGAAATTCAAAATGATGTTGCAATGTGGTTTAAGTTTGTATTAATGTCCCGTTATACCCTCATCATAACACATGAAATATAGTTAAGTTAATAACTTCATGTTGGAGACAATCTTATGTGAGACATTATTGGACACTAAACGTGGACATCTCTCCTAATAGAGATTCAAACTTTAATTCGTCACATTATGAGAGACTGGCTCTTTTTGCTGGACTCGACTTTTTTTGGTTCTTAAGTTGCTTGCTTCGTAGTAAGGAATGACAAGTATACTCCTATTTTGTTTGAACTGTTTGGTCCTGCCAGTTGGCCAGTTTACTTTACATGCATTATGTCAGCGTTCATTCATAATTCATAGTTCTTTATTAACTTAGTTTTCCTTCCTTCATTTGGAACCATTATAATGAATTTCAAAGATGAGTAAGCATCAATTGCATTTCATTTTATTTTTCTTCTGTCTCATTGAAGAGACTCATTTCACCCACCCTGAACATTTTAGAAAGGTTAAACCGTTTGGCTCTTGTGAATTGAAGTTGAGAGACTTCCAAAGCAGCGGCTTTCGTTTATTGATGGACTCTTATACTGACTGTCATGCTTTGTTGAGAGAATGATATGGAGAGATGTATACACGAGAGGTCTTCAATGAGTCTTAATGAACTAAACAGTTCTGAGAAACAAGACTAAAGAGAGAATGAAAGATGTCTGCACATAAGACGAAGGTCGAGGGAGAAATCCAAGTTGCGATTTCCATTGTTTAATGTTGACGTGGCACTTCTCCTTCATTGGACTTCCGGGAATTTCAAGAGAAAAGAATAGCCCCATGAGATGCGGCATTTTTCTTACCGTCTCCATGGAATTAATCTGGAAGCCTTTGGGAGGCCATGGACAAACTGTGCTTCGCCTTTCTTCAAAGCCTTCCAACGAAGCAACTGATCTGATTGTTTGTATTTAGAGAACATTGATGTGATTAATTAATGTGATGATAATTATCAAGTTTCAGAAACAGAGTTTGCCGTGAAAGGAAGCTGAATGACAAACACATGGCGTGGCTCTACCATCCTCACCGGGTTTCAAGACTAAAAGCTATCAGCTAATCACTACAGGTAGTGTTTAATTAGCTTCTTCGTCATTTTAATCCATCACTATTTTTTCAAAACAAAAAATGTTGACGCCAATTGACATTTGAAACTCAAGCCTCATCAAATTTGGGTAAAGTTAGGTTAAATATATGGATATAAAGCTATGTTGTATATAATAAACTGCGGTTTGATTTTTTTCCCCCTACCAAGTTTCTCTCTATTAATTACATGATGATGGTAGTTATAAATTATTCACATAAAATTGTAGTGATACTTGTTAATATGTACTTCGAAAAAACATTAAATTTGAGTCGTTAAACTTTTTCCAGCAACCTTGCAATGCTGGAGAGGAGCCACTTCTAACGCAATGTGTTGTTCTTTTTGCATTATATCAAATTAAAAAGTTAATTAAATTATTCTTTATGTGTTCTTTTTTGCCAACTACATATTTATTTATTATTTATTAATTAAAGACTGTGTCTTTGTTTTGCGAGGAGTAGAAATAAAGAAATCAATGAACCGGAGGAATTCCGGTTCGTCATTGTTTATTAGTTTCCCTCCCCCTCTTCTTTCCCGGTCCAATATAATAGGATAAACCTTATCCACAAAATCCAATTTCTTGCTTCGAGCAAAAATAATAATAATAGAAAGAAACGAATCAAGATTCAAGAACGACTCAATTTTGACCTCTTTCATATAACTATCTTACCTCCCGTTCCTTCCACTGCCCAATGGCACTTCTCTTTTCTTCTCAGTGCCAAAGCTCTATGGATAAACTGGCTCATATTCATCTTCTTAATCCTTGTTCTGTTCCTCACCGACGAACCAAATTGCCACCACGAAGCCATTCACCCGCTTCAGTTTCTCAGGGAATGATAGATACCTCAAGTTTTGCTTCTACTCAAGTTTCGTCGCCTAAACTTTCCTCGAGCTCTCACCTTTTGCATAACATGGGTCAGATTAGGACTTTGGAATCTGTCAGGGTGTTGCATGCCCTGATACTCAAAATGCCATGTGAGGGGAACTTGCATACCATGGATAAAAGCTTGATCAGGTACTACTTAGAATTTGGGGATTTTATGTCTGCAACAAAAGTGTTCTTTGTAGGTTTTACGAGGAATTATCTTCTCTGGAATTCTTTTCTGGAGGAGTTCGATAGTTTTTGGGGCGATCCCCGAGAGATTCTGGAGGCCTTCAAGGAATTGCATAATATAGGAGTGGAGTTTGATAGCAGAGCTCTTACTGTAGTTCTGAAAATTTGCTCCAATTTGATGGATTTGTGGCTTGGGTTGGAAATTCATGCTTGTATGATCAAGAGAGGCCTTGACTTTGATGTGCACTTGAATTGTGCATTGATCAATTTCTATGGGATGTGCTGGAGTGTAGATAAAGCGAATCGAGTGTTTGCTGAAACGCCGCACCATGAAGATTTCTTGTGGAATACAATAATTATTGCGAACTTGAGAAGTGAGAGGTGGGGAGAAGCTTTAGCATTGTTCCATAGGATGCAGCTATCTTCTGCCAAGCCGACTTGTGGAACCATGGTGAAGTTACTTCAAGCATGTGGGAAACTAAGAGCTCTCAACGAAGGGAAACAAATTCACGGGTATGTTTTAAGATGTGGTTTAGAATCAAATGTGTCTATTTGCAATTCCTTAATTAGCATGTACTCTAGAAACAATGAACTGAAGCTAGCTAGAACAGTTTTCTATTCTATGGAAGATCGTAACTTGTCTTCATGGAACTCAATAATTTCAAGTCATGCTGTAGCTGGAAGTTTGAATGATGTGTGGGATATCTTGCGAAAAATGGAGTCATTGAATATCAAACCAGACATTATAACTTGGAATTCTCTTTTGTCTGCCCATCTCCTTCAGGGCTCATACATTACAGTCCTCACCATTTTCCGGAGAATGCAAAGTGCAGGCTTCAAGCCAGATTCATGCTCAGTCACCAGTGCCATACAAGCAATCATTGAATTAGGATTCTTCGCTTTAGGGAAAGAAATCCATGGTTATGTTATAAGAAATGAGCTGGACTATGATGTCTATGTATGTACTTCATTGGTGGATATGTATGTCAAGAGCAATTCCTTAGAAAGAGCTCAAGCAGTGTTTGATAATACAGAGAACAAAAACATTTCTGCTTGGAATTCTTTGATATCTGGCTATTCCTTCAAGGGCCAGTTTAATAATGCCGAAAAACTATTAACTGAGATGAAGGAGGAAGGCATAGAACCTGATTTAGTGACATGGAATAGTTTGGTGTCAGGGTATTCAATGTGTGGCTACACTGACGAAGCTTTGGCTGTAGTTCGTCGGATCAAGAATTCAGGATTGACTCCTAATGTGATTACCTGGACGGCTATTATATCAGGATGTTCACAGAATGAGAATTACAGGGATGCCCTGAAGTTTTTCAGCCAAATGCAAGCAGAAAATGTAAAACCCAACTCTACTACCATTTGCAGCTTACTATCTGCATGTGCAGGCCTCTCCTTGTTAAAGAAAGGAGAGGAGATACATTGCTTAACCATGAGACTCGGTTTCGTGGATGACGTTTATATAGCCACGGCCCTCATTGACATGTACAGTAAGGCAGGTAGACTGAAAGTGGCTGTTGATATTTTCAGAAGAATTCAGAACAAAACACGTCCTTGTTGGAATTGCATGATGATGGGATATGCCATTTATGGCCACGGGGAAGAGGTGATTACTCTTTTCAGTGAACTTTGCAAAACGGGTATCCAGCCCGATGCTATAACCTTCACTGCTCTTCTCTCTGGCTGCAAGAATTCGGGTTTAGTTGATGAGGGGTGGAAGTATTTTGACAGTATGAAGACAGATTACAACTTGAACCCAACTATTGAGCACTACTGTTGCATGGCAGACCTCCTGGGAAAAGCTGGCTATCTTGATGAGGCCTGGGATTTTGTAAAAACTATGCCCATAAAACCAGATGCTAGTATTTGGGGTGCTCTTCTTGCATCTTGTAGGATTCATAAAAAAATAAAACTAGCAGAGGTCGCAGCCAAAAATCTTTTCGAGTTGGAACCAGACAATTCTTCTAATTATGTGCTGATGATGAACTTATATTCCGCTTTTAATCAATGGGAGGATGTGGAGCGTCTTAAAGAATCAATGATTGCCCGGGGGTTGAAGATCCCACATGTATGGAGCTGGACACAAATTAATCAGACAATTCATCTGTTCTCCACAGAGGGGAAGCCACACCCAGAAGAAGGGGACATATATTTTGAGCTATATCATTTGATTTCCGAAATCAGAAAGCTGGGTTATGTTCCTGATATTAAATGTGTATATCAGAACATTGATGACAATGAGAAGGAGAAGGTTCTGCTCAGTCACACTGAGAAGTTGGCTATCACATATGCATTGATGAAGTCAAAAAGTGGGTCACCTATAAGGGTTGTTAAGAACACAAGAATTTGCCAAGATTGTCATACAGCAGCAAAGTACATCTCTTTGGCTAAAAACCGAAGTGTTTTCCTCAGAGATGGTGGTCGCTTTCACCATTTTGTTAATGGAAAGTGCTCCTGCAATGACAGATGGTAATAAGAAATGTAGGTAAGAGAACTCAGAGCAGTTTATTGTCGTTTTCTGATGCTCAAGACAAGTCAATGAAAAGGATTACAATACATAATAGGAAGAGCATGCTGGATTCTGTAAATGTGACTATATTACTTTTATTATTTGGACAGAAAAGAAATGATAGTAGACGGAGGAATGGTGATTTCTTGAAGCAATTGATATATCTCACGACTTGGGCACTTTTTTTTTTTTTTTTGGCCAAAGAGGGTTTCTTCAAGTTTCTTTTCTTTTTCTCTTTCCTTTGTTTTTTCCTCCGGCCAAGTTTTCTTCAAGGTTGTGGGTTCCTTCTCTCTCAGGGGCCAGGGCAAAAAGCCAAATCTGATTTATGGAGTCAAAACGCGGCAGAATTGGTCAATCAAAATTTCTTCTATGATACATGTTACATGTTTATTAACTGTAAATTTTTATTTTACGCACATTCCTTTAGTATCCTCCACGTAAGGTGTTAATCAGAAATATTATTAAACAATACAAATTGTTTTCTTTTTCATGATCAGAATTAATATTTCTTAGAATTAAATTTTGTTAATAAAACTATGAATGATTCAAGTAATTTTTTGGCATAAAATAATACATGTAAAGGTAATACCATTCAATAAAAAAATCCTCTACATATCCTTAATATAAAAGCTATTTAATTAATTTGAATAAATTAAAAAAAATAATTAAATTATTTAAGTCTAATAAATTTGATATATAATCTCCCTAAAATACTTCCATGTAACATTAAATTATATATTGGTTTGTAAATTAGATAAATTAATTTAAAAAAATAATAAATATGATTAATAAAATAAATTAAAGTCTTGCATTAGGAATCAAACAAACTCCTTAACTAACTTCTGTTAAAACCGAATGAACCCGGATGAGTAATATTGTTCATCCACGAGTGAATATGAAAGGAGCCATGGTACGATGGTAATAACCAATTCATGTGAACATTTCATCACACAACAGCCTTTTTTTCTTTCTGGAGAGCGGTGAAGCAGAAAATAAACATTTATATTCTTGTGCTCCCATGGTTTCACCCCCGGGGGGGGGGGGGGGGGAGGTCCTTCATGGTCTAAAGTTCGCAGATTGTGTGCGAAAAGAATCACTCGAATCTCGTAAAACCATAAAAATAACCAAACACTAAAGAAAGACAAGATATATGTAAAAGGAAATAAACATTTATACTCTTGTGCTGTCTTTTCTTTTTAAAAAATGAAGTTCCTACAACTGTTGAATTATAAAAGATCAAAATTTTATAGATAGAATCTTTCATGGACATTCATAAAAGTGAAACAACACAGAAAAGATTAGATTTAAAAAAATTAAAAATAAAAAGCTTAAAATGCTTCCCAGAGAGAGAGGCACTCTCCTCACACACTTCAATGACTTCTTCGAGATAAAAAGCATTGGGTCAGTGAGCAGTATCAAATTTTGTCCAACAAATATGTTAATCGGTTATCTGCCAATAATGTCCAACGAGTAAGCATCCACCACTAATTGCAATAAATCATGCCTTATAATTAAAACAATCATCCCACCTCCTATTATTATGAGGAAGCTTCCATCAATAGCAATAAACCAATCATAATCTCTTATTTCAACGTTTCTCCCTCCCCTGCCCCACCCCACCCACGTTTTTTCCTGAGGTCTCAGGTCCCTTCTTTAAAAGAAAAAGTGAGGCGGGAAAAACAAGTTGGATTTGTAACCACCGCACAATGAGCATCAGCATATCTTTGCACTTCCTCAAAGCAAAGTGCATCACGCCTTAAGTAGAGTCCATTCGATAAAAGTGTCCTAAACATAAATTCAAAAACAGGGAGGGAAATTGTGAATAAATCAACTTGCAAACAAAAAATACTAAACAACTTATACAAGAGAAGAGATAAGAGCATCAAGGCAGCAGCTACAAAGCGGGGTCTTTTCCTACCAGTACAAGAAACAGCAAAGGTTGCAGTTCCCTTTTTTTTTTTTGCTTTTCTTCTTGTTTCCAACATAAATATTTACAAATAGCCCTAGCAACACACCACCATGCAGATAGTCCAGAAGAACAGCAGAGAACAAGGAACTTTTCCCGCTCCCATCCTCCGATGTTCATGAAACTCGGAATCTCATCTCGCAAAAACTGAAGAAGAGAAACTCAGCTGCTCTCAAGTAGATTACACAGAGCTACAGATGCAGAAGGGACGGTAGGAGAAAGGCGTCCTTGATATTGAAATACAAATTGGCAGCAACCCACACCCAAAACTTCTGAGAACGTGGAAGGAATACTCCAACCAATCTCTACACCTGATCTGGGATTAGAAAGCCACAGATCGTCTAGTTGCATAAACCGACCTTGTTCTCCCATAGACCTACTTAATGGTTGATGGGATCAGTCCGGCCCTGCACAGCCATCCTCTCGGAGACATCAGCCAAGGAGCTCAGATTGCATCTGATCAAAGCCTCCACAAAGTAACAAGTTTCATCCCTGGTGTTACCATCAGGTACGTCTACCACAAATGATTCAATCACCATTGTTCCAGGTCTTCCGTCAATGATCTCTGGATGGACTGTGATTATAGAGGAATAGTTCTGCAGAATTCAAATAATACCGTTTAATGGCACAATATAAAATTAGAAGAATGGAAAAACTAATTATAAATACATCTTCACAACAGCAAAGGAAAATATTGAACAATCTCATATATTAACCTGTACCAAGCACATTTACAAAATTTAGAGAAATACCAGCAGTGCATCCAATATGTAAGAATCTTCTGAACCATGGTAACCTTGAGTACTTGCAAGTTGCAAGCATTTCCACATTCATTCACTCAATCTTTCATCTATATGATTGCAGAAATGGGTCGATGACATAAAATTAAGAATTAAGGAGGAAATCCCAGATATCATACCCAATTGAATACCATATCACAATAAGGTAGCTTGTGGCATTTCCAACGGTAACACTGAGCAGTCAGCGAAAAGATACATTTAAACAGCAGAATAAATCTCATATACGCTATTAAGGGCGGAAAAACACAGACAGCATGCACAAATGCAGGATTATTGCGGTGATGGTTCTAGCATCTGTGCATTTAAGATTTTCAATGTCCTTCCCTTACTTCAGCTCAAGAAATGACGTGGGTATTACTTTCAGAAGATTTAGCAACCATAACCGAAGGCTCCCAAGCTTTGCTTTATACAGATAAAAAATAAATCTTTACCTTCTCTTATTATTCCCTCTTTCCGATTACTTTTGCAATAAGAATCAATTAGAAGAGTACGAGAAGGGAGGACGGAAGAACAGTCATACCCGGAGTCTGTGGTCGCCACCAACAATCTTGATGCTAAGAATGTGTTCCTCATCGTCAAGTTGTTCCAACCTCTCAGTACTAGTCGTAGCAGGAAGGCCCGATTTAACATTCACTTCTCTAACGCTCCCAATACCTAGGTCTCCCTGCATGATACATCTGCTTACAAAAGGTTTGTACTTCTGAGGTTGATCAAACCTTCTAACAAGAGACCACACCTGACAGAAGAGGGGGGGAAAAAAACTTCGAGTCAGATCAATTAGTTTTTTTTCTTCGGCCACAAATTTCACACAATAAAGAAACAGAATGAGATACATATACGTTACAATATTGACAATAAACCTAGAGTTCAACTGATCATGCAAAAAGAGATAAAATAGCAGATGTTAAGATATCAATGCTTTGCATTTGCTTGGTTTTTTCTGGAAACGTTAAAAGCGCTACACAAGTGTGAGGATGCTCCTAACGCCAACTTCTTCGTCTTTTTTCTTATTTCGATTGAAATTTAAGCGAAATCTGACACGGAAAAAGGTGAAAGGGCCATGACACATGAACGAAGGACATTTGTTGCCATAACTGATTCCATAATCACGCATATGAATTTCACAGAAGTCAAAAATCATCATGTGTCTCACGAGCTTCGATTAAAAGAATCAGCAATGAAGAAAGAGACAAAACCAGGGGGAACCCATAAAGGGAAACGTCAAGGCTAAAGAGCTGAATTGCTCAGATCTTGAAAAGGCAAAAGTCAAAGCCTTGAAAAACGAAACAAATAAAGACCCACCAACCAAAACAAAGCTCAGAAGCGAAATCAACCATTGATAACCAATTCCGATGCCAATATATACACAACACAAGCAACTTACAAGGTGAACGGGAGCTCGTATGTGCTTGACAAGGGCGGAAGTACACTGGTTCTCCCTGGGTTCATGTTTGTGATGTCTCCGTATGTACTGAGTCTCTAAGGAACCGTACGATTCGTCTCCGTTCATCCTTCACTCCACCTTCCTTCTTCGCTGCGTACGAGATGTGGCAGAGGGTTCGAGAGAGGGATAAGGTTTGGTTGAGCAGAGAAGGCTGTGTTTGGCGCAAAAGAAAGTCATTGAGAGGCTTAAAGGCTTAAAAGCAGAGCTTGGATTGGCAAATGGCAAGGCTCTATCAAAAAGTCCATGAACCCACCGACACTGTTTTATTTTATTTTATCCTTTAAATGCTCCTAACGGCCCATTGGCTGCTTTTCGTAGGGCAGGTATTGGCCTATCAAATACATATATTACAATTTAGGACCCCAAATATTAAACATTGGGATCTAATGGTCTCAAAGTTCATGATTATTACAATAATCCCCATCCCCATGTGCTGTGCACAAATAGAATTATTTGTTATTCTTTAATCTAAAAGAAACCTCATAGAAGTCAAGCTCAAGCATCCAGTTCAATTAGTGTTTATAAATTACTGTCATTTATTAGGAAATGCTTAGTTATCAAAGCATGACATTTTCGAAAGGTATAATGAATGAAACCAACCGTTTGTTTTAATATATATATATGTACATGTATATGTATATATACACTACTCTAATTTTATTTATAAGGCAAAGAGAGAAGACATTTTTTATTCTATTTATAGAGCACTGAAAAAAGATTTTTTGAAGGATGTATAACTTTACCCTTTATTTATTATTATGTTGACTTTGTTCATATAAAGTATAATATATATTAAATAAAGATAAAATTAGAAAGTTGTCAAATTTAAAATGAGAGTTAATGAAGTTTACAGTTTTTTTAGTATGTGTGAAATATATTGGAATTGACTTATAAATAAGATTAGAGGAGTATATGATTTTTCAACTAACATACTCAATTGGTTCTATTTATAGAATAGAATGGAAAAAAAAGTTTTTGGTCCTTTACATAGGAGAGGGAGAAAATTTTCATATTAATACATAATTTTACTCTTAAATTATTACTGTGTTGACTTTTTTTTTGGATATGATATAATATATATTCAATAGAAATAAAATTAAAAAATCGTTAAATTTTAAATGAGAATTAATAAAATTTAAAGTTTTTCTTAATCTATATGAAACATGTTAAAAGTTACTCATAAATAAAAGTATAGGAGTAATTATTATACATCTTAGTGAGAAAATAGTTCCTAGGCAATTTATAAATACTATTTGAATTTTCTGTAATAAAAATAACATTAGATCCATAAAAAAAATCATTTTGAATGAAAAGCCGTAATTGAACAGAAAGCTAACAAAAATTACATTAAGAAACGTGATTTTTATAGTAGAGACGACATTTACCAAATACTCCAAAATGGCTTCAACAGTCAACACGCCTACCGCACTCAAAACACGCACAAACCTTTTTGTTAAATTTTTTCGTGTTTTAATTTTAATTCATATTTATACTGATGCTATTGCATTTATTTAAATTATATTCCTTATTTATTAACAATTTATTTAGGTGTCATTACCTCCCCCCTCCCCGAAACATAGTCCAAGGCCGAAACATTTTAAATTTTAGCAAGTGGGCAAAATTTTTGCTAGTTGGAACATTAAAAGTTGATAGATTAGTTGAAAACTGTTGCAAAATCAATGGTTTATTACTTCAAAAAAAAAAGTTCCAAATCCTTACAGCTATGTATGTATATTTTTCAATACTTCATATTAAAAGTTAAAACATTGGTCGCAAACTTTCCACACATCAATATCAATTTGGAAATTAAATTTATAAACATCCATGTATTAATTAAATTCTTTTTAATTTTTTGTGCTAATTAGAACATTCATTGCAAATTTTTCATAACGTATTTAACTAATATTTATTATAAATATTCAGCATTGATCATCCGCAAATTTATGAATGACTTCTTAACTTTCAACATGAAACAAATTTGTGAAATGAGTAATTAAATTAATATATTGCCCCCAAAGTATCATTCCCCCAAAATTGTTCTCCTGGGACGTTATCCGTGATTTTCTTTTTATTGAATTTTGTTTGTCAATTAAATGAAAAAAGAAAAGTACAAGTTGGTACAATTGCGTGCTTACGGGTATAAGTAGTACTCGAAGTTTGCGATGATAATTACATCAGAAATAATATTAACCTTTTTTGCAACAAATATGGTAAGCGTCGCTGTATTACGGAATTACGCAGAGACGTTGCTTTTATGGATCAGAGACATTTTGTACGTTTTCTTCCCAAAATTAACGCTCAGAAAAGTCAGACGACCCAAAGCTTTTGTGGAAATATATTTTTATCAGAGCAACGTGGCGGCAATCCTAAATGTAAACTTTTGTTCTTAAGTACAAAAATTAATACATTTTACCACTCATGTTTATTTTTTAAAACACTTAATTTATCTAATTTATAAACTAATATGACCTTCTAATTTTAATACAAAAATCAGATAAGAAATTTATTTTTGTTCTAAATATAAAATCTTAATTCATTCAATCTCTTAAGTTTATAATTTTTTTCTTCAAAATATTTATGTTGATCACATATATTAAGGGGATTTTATGAAAAAATAGTTTCAATGCATATAATTAATAATGATATTTTAAAAAAGTCAATACTTATTTACTATAAATGATTAAGTTAATAAATTTTTTTAATAAAAGCAAATTAATTATTTAGTCTCTATAGTAATGATGGGAGGTAAGTATAATAATATACGAGAATTATTTTAAGAAGATTAGGTTACTTATGCTACAACCTACAATTAAATGATTTATTTAGTTTCATTAATTTATTTAAATTAGCGATAAATAGTTCTTACGTTATAAGTAAATCAATAACAGTGAAACATTTGCAAATCAAAGGCACGAGGGGTTTGCTCGCGTTGAAATGTAGTAAGACTTAAGATTATCATACCCATTATAGATATGGAGGGTGTTTGGATGAAACCAAACCATGGTTTGAAGAATAACTTCTGGAGAATATATTCTGGGAAGAATAAATTTTGTGAAGAATAGATTTTGTGAAAAAGTGATTCTGAAAAGTGAGAGTGTTTGGATAGTTGTTATCAGAAGCACTTTTTATATATACAAATTAGTAAAAAAGACATAAGTTAATATGATAATTGCATAAAAGATAGATTTTATGATATATTTTAATTTGAAGGAATAAAATTGTTAATAATATATTTTTTATCAACATAATTAATAATACATAAGATAATATAATTAATGAATATTAATATGTGTATATATATTTATAAGATATAAGATTAATATGTTTATAAAAAATTAATTGAGTGATGTTAAAGTCATATTATTATTGAGATCTACTCTGACAGGCACAATCATACTCTCCAATTTGAGCCAAAAATATAATGGATTCACTTCTCCTGAAACTATGGTTTTGAGTTCCAAAACCATGATTGCAGCCCAAACCATGGTTTCAGATTATGACATCAAAATTGATGCTATTTGGATGACATTCCACCCAAACTATAGTTTTGCCTCCCAAACTATGGTTTTGGGAGTTACCCAAACAGGCGCAGCTAGTTCATTTATAAGACATATTTGTATGTTAAAAGATACATTAAATTGATAAAAAAAATTGTAAATTCACTCTTATTAAAGTTTTCTCTCTTTATATTTACAAATCATTCTCACATCCCTCTCCTCTTTTTCTATTTCTTCAATGAGAATTAAATAAAAAAATTTAAAATTAATCTCTAAATACAATACAAGTGACTTGTATCTAGAATGATTTTTTTTAATCTGATAATTTATTTCCCCTAGCTAGTAATGTCCAACAGATTTGGTATCCGCCATTCGCATTCAAAATAGTATATATGGTGATGTTTGTCAAAAAATTTAAATACCAGTATATAAATCTATTTATTGTTACATTCAATCCTAAATATAATACTTATTTTATAATACAATTTACATTATAAATTAAATCTTATATTTAAAACCGGATGCAGTGTATATCTAGTAACATGAGTGTGTGTCAAACAATTATAAAATGCATGACATAATAACAACTATTAAAAAAAATACTAACTTTTAAGACGAAAAAGTTTATTAAGAAAATAAGTTTTGATTTTGATTTGACTCAATTATGCAGCTTGAGTGGATCTCGAAGAAAACCAACTGAAAAGGGGTATCGGATGCCAATAGTATAAAGCTGAAAGAGTAAACTCCAACTTACTATTACAGGGAATCTAACAATTAATAAAGGACTAAGCAGGCATAAATTAGGATTAATATATGAATAATCAATGTTCAAAAATGGTTTCATTTATTTGGAATCCACCGACCAAATCCACATAAAAAATATTTCTTGTGGTGTCTTTTTATTCAGCTAATTAATATATGCAATTAAGTTAAACCAAAGCTGTTCTCCCGTGTGGCCCTCGAGTTATTACATGCAGCTTTTTCAGTGATTTTGTACCTGCTCTGCCATAATTATATAGGCTTAAGTCTAGTTTATTTGATATGCAAAATTAAATAAAGTAAAATACTTTTTAAAAAAAAAAAATGTGACTTTCCTGTTAAATTTTCTAAAACATTTAACAGCATATAATTCCCATTAGACAGTGATACCCGTACAAAATACATTGCCTATGATGTGCTTTTGTATGGAAGGAGAATCACCTTTTTTAATGATGCCAAGTGGCAACCAAACGTGGTGTAGGTAGTAATTTAAAGTCATTCGATTTACCAAAAATACAAATTTAAGTCATTCAATGGGGAGACAAAGACGCAGCAAGTGGACATTAATTAATGAACGAAAACAAGCTGGTTTGTACTATGGTATATATAAGGAAATGCACATGTCAGCCCTTTTCTTAAAATAATAATTTCATAATTGTACCTCTTGTTTTTAAAATAACTCATCTTTAGATTTGGGCTCATCGTCTCTAGATCCTCCTGCCATTTAACATGTAACACTTTCACTTTATTAAAGGAGATTGATTCGAATTCTTATTAAAAAATATATATATACATATTTAATGTTCAATAATATTTCGAGCAAGTTTTTTTTAATAAAAAACCCGGTTACACAGACGCAATTATATTTTGTGTTTCTTAAGCAAGAAACTAATTTTTCATATATAATATACTTAAATATAGTAATGTATGTAATATAACTAGA